GCACAATAATAATATAAAAAGTATATATTGTTACAATATAATATATATATATATATATATATATATATATATATATATATATATATATATATATTGTCATTGTACTGAAGAAGACCGTCTATGTGATTAAAACGTTTACAGTAAAGAAGATTCTGCCAAAACATATGGTTTCATCGTCCAGACAAGCGGCAGGATTATCGACATGTAAACTACAATACGCAGCAGATGTTACGGGAACGTTCATATTAGCTGGAAACGGTTTACCGTTTTCTTGGTAATTTTGACATATATAGAGCTATTTAAAACAATAATGTACATTTCTTAAAATTAAATCATTTTTAAATCTCTAGATTTCTGGACTCATGACCTCTGTTCTATATAGATGAGTAAAGATCAAGCAGGTATTACAAGGTGCTGGATGACCTTACCCTACCTTCTGAACTGGCACGATTAACTTTAAAGCTTTCCATGAATGTCGTCTGTTTTTTAGACTGAAGCAGCTGCTCATGCAGAATCCTAAATGCCAGGACAACGCGTCTGCTATGAGGATCCCACAGAAACCTTCTTAATCCGATTTTTGAACTACCCAGGGTTTATAGAACTGGGAGAAGCGTCCGCGTGTAGATTGCTCCACAATCTCGATGCACTAGGGACGAAGGAGCGATCGTAGCGGCCAGTTCTGGATGTACGAAGTCCGGCACACTGAGGATGGGAGACTGAAGTCAGGCGAGTCTGAGGAGCAAAGCCCGCTGGGTTAGCGGTAGAAACAAACTAGATTGCTGTACAGCATCGAGCATGGGTAATGTATTCGTGGCGACAGCACCCCAAACAGGTGAACAGTACTTGAGGCTAGGTCTTACCTATGCCTTGTACAGAGTTAGGGGGTCATGTGAAAGTATTTCTTATTCGTAAACAAATAGCCTAACTTTTGCCACCAGCTGTCGCTATTGCCGAGACGTGTTCGTGTCAGATCAAGTCCTCGCTGATCTGGGATTTTTGGTAGAACTTGACCTTCTATCGAAACCAGACAGAAGTTAAGACGGATCATCAAGGAACAGTACTGTGTTTTGGAAGCATTAAGCTGTACAAGATTGCTGCATCCCCAGGCAGTGAATACCTACAGAACTCTTGTCAGAAAGGAAGTCGCTGCTAGTCCTCTTCTATCCAGCCGACCGGCAGAGATCGGCATGTCGCTCTGAATTCCCACATGTGCGATCTCATCAGCAAGGCTGCGGATTGGATTAACCGTTTAGGGAGTCGATACTCCTGTGATACGCATTGAGATCTAGGTAAGCAAATACCCTCCAAAGATCGTTTAGCAGCTTTACGGTCATACTGTATGCAAATGTAGTATTGTTTTGATCACTTAAAAATACATTACTACCTATTTATATTCATACTACTATTCGTGTATTACGAAATCAGATTTATTCTTTGCCGATCAGGCAATATTTCGAGGGCGACAAGTAGTTAGCGCTGGAATTGCAAATAATTTCTTCTGAAACCGAATTTCCTTTTTCCCGTATTAAAGCTATGAAACTTATAAGGCCATGCACACTAATTATCATAGAATATTATTGTGACCTCAATTGGTGTTCCGGCAACATGGAAGTACTTCATCGTCCGACCATAACCAATAACGAGAGTTTCTTTTGTTCTGTGATCAATTAACTTTATGTGTCCGTAAGCGAGAAATATCAGATACTTTTACGATCGATTATGGAAAAAGTCTTAAATGAAATTTATAGTGAATATTCTATATCGCTAAATTATTATTATATATTTTTGTAGGAAATGAGATGCTTTAAGTGCCTCAGACAATACTTTTGAGGATTCATTCTTCCACAAGCTTCTGTTTTACAAATTGGAAAACCAGTCGTCGTAAATTATCAGTAGCTTTGGTTATACACTTCAAGGCAAAAGTGATACCTCTACAAATGATGAGATCATTATGCAGGGATACGAATGCAGTTTGGAAATATTCCTTATATACCTAACTTAGCCCCCGTTTGAGGACAATGTAACTGACAATAAATACTATATTCTGCACAAACAAATGTTGCGAAAAGGCTGTAGTACAGATTGTGTAGACATACTTAAGGCCCGTATCGTCAGTCGTCCCTACAATTGTAGGGCGGCTCTATGGCCTCCTTGATTGTCATAGTTTTCTACTTCTCCGTGTCAGCGCTCTATTTTGAGGTTAGGTCACAAACATCTATTTGCATCAAATTGTGCTTGCTTTTGAGTTATATCATGTTTTATGAGCCTGAAATTTCTTACAATTTAAAAAGAAAACATATCTTCACAATAGGAGAGCGCTGACGCTGACACGGGGCGGGTGCAATCTAGAAATTTTTGAAGGAGAGAAAGGAGTATGACAATCAAGGAGGCCAAAAACGCGCCCTACAATTGTAGGGACGACTGACGATACGTGCCTAAAAATGAGTTTTCTTGTATCATGTCTGAAACTAATATATAAATCCAGAAAAAAACACATTTTTAAACTTGTTTTGAGCTCAAATGTAAATTTTGAGCATTTATTGTTTTACTATTGCTGGAAGCTGATGATATATCCATCGCCTTTGTAGAAATACTCCTGGTGCTTTTTTGTTACACAAGAGGAGTTATTATGCATATTTCTACACTGATTATTGTAATCAAGGTAAAAAGTGGGTGCCACCACTATAAATAAGATAGAAAAGGAAGCCTGGACTTCGTCGCAGTCACTGAAAACTTTTTAGGGAACCATAAATCCCTGAAAAATGTCTTCCATAAAATGAAATTGAAAATATATTTGCCGGACACGCAGTTGAATCAGAGATGCTATGAGTGATGAATACGAGGAGCGATCTCAATAAGACATAGCTGTGATCGAACAATGTTATCGATGAAATTCGAACCCCTGCCTAGAACGCTAGCAGACTACCACTTGTTTGTTAATTAGGGAAACCCCAACCACAATGTACTATCGACAAACACAAAAATGTAGTGGGCAGCTTTTTTAGTCTAATGTAAGTTTAAAAGTTGAAATTTGTGGAAATTTCGATATACCATGAATTTGTGACATTAGACTTTTTACAGTATTTCTAGGTCAGATATCATGAATCACCTGAAATTGTTTACGTTATAATAAATTGTTCTTTTCTGTTGACTAGTATAACAATTCCAAATTTCACAGAATCCCAGAATATGTTTGCTAAAGGAGGTGAAGTTACATAATAAATGAGCAATTTATAGAGATCAAATGTCGTACAGGGTGGCCCAACGAAGAAGTCGCACCGCTATTTGTGACTCTCCTGGTATATTTTAGGAAAAACGCTTGGGCTTTTTAATCTTTAAATTTTCCATGAAGTTCAGTAACTGTTGTGTAATAAATTGTACCTCCAATAGTTGTAAATCTATTTAAGTTTATGATAAAAAGTTGAAGTAAAAATTAATTTGCTATAGAAAGGTAGGTAAATGTGGTAACAAATGCTGAAAGTGGTGTCCATTTACCTCCATGCAATAATAAAGATGTTCTAATCTATTTCTCACATTTTCAAGCATGTCTTGAGTTATTTGTCTACATTCAGCCGTAACCCGCTGACGAAGATCTTGAATGGGGTCTGGTTTCGTACTAAAAACTTTACTTTTCAAATACCCCCAAAGAAAGTAATCTAAGGGACTTAGGACTGGAGATCTCGGCGTCCACTCGTCTGCCGATCCACTGATTCGGGAAATGGGTGTCTAAAAACTGGACCCACATAGTGCGGCGGTGCACCATCTTGTATTAAATGATTGTAATTTTCATTACAATTAACTTGATTCTCTATTATTTCGGTAATTCGTAGCTCTATCGTATTTTCTAACATGTCCAAGTATGTCTCGCCCGTCAAGTTTTCATGAATAAAGAACGGTCCTACGATATGATTTCCGAAAATACCTGCCCACACATTTACTTTTTCGGGATATTACGAGTGTACCTCTCGAAACAAATGTGGATTCGAGTCACTCTCACTCCAATATCGACAGTTATGTCTATTTACATCATGTACAAATATTAAATAACAAATCTGCGTTGTTGACTAAACGTTGGGACATTAATTCGCATCTATCAGAATCGTCTCCGTTAAGCTCAAGCTTCAGGGCCAAGTTTTATCTTGTACGGGTGAAACTCATTGTCTAATTCTTTGTACTGTTGAGCGAGTAAATCCTGAAGAACTAGCCAGCCCACGGGTCCTTTAGGTGTTGTCAAGTGCTACGTGTCCCAAAACTGCTATTTCTGCGGCTTCATTTCAAGCTAGTAGATTTTCTCGATCTCGATTACGCTGAATATTAGACACATATGTAGCGCAATAAAGCAATTTTACAAAATAAAACATATTTTTTGGCTCACATGTCAGTATGGAAGGAGGGGGGGGGGGTTAAGGTGTGTGTCTACCCGAATTTGAAAGTCAGCTCAGGATTTACCCGCTATTGAAACGTAAATTCGTGTGAATTATTTTCTGATGTATTTATTAACATTAAATCACTAATATAACAAAAAGAATTAAAAAGATTTTTGTTATTAACTGTTTCGGATACATCACCTTAGAACTCAACTTTAATAGTAAAAATTCCTTTCCGTTAAAACGAATATAAGAACAATCAGCAGTATTAGCAAAGCACCCACTATTCTCATCGGCATTTTCTTATGCTTGTATTAAACTTTGTTGATTATTCATTGCAGTCTTATAGTATTCCAATTCGAATTCTTCATTTTTTTGCTTCCACGCTGTTCCAAAATATTTTGTCAAAAGTTCTTCAACATTTTTTTGTTTTACAGGATTTATTTTTACGTTACTTATACACATGTTTTCTAGGGACATAAAGAATATTTTCTTCCCCCTTTCACAGATGCCTTTAGCATTAGTCACATCAGACTGGTAATTTGGTTCAACCCTCACCAGGAGTTGCAGATTTTTTTGAGTGAGTCAATATCAACCGCTTACATGACTTGGAACTGTAAATGCAGTGAGGCTGTTGATTTGTTAACATTTGCGGACTCTCTTTTCCAATTTTGAATATATCACTCCATACTCAAATTTTTTTAAGTACCAAGGTTTCCGAAAGTATTGTAGCACGTTTCAGACTTGACTAAGTTTGTCATGATGAAATAATAAAACAGATTAACAGAGCCTTGTATTTGGCGATAATAGCAGATGAACCAACGGACATTTCGGGGAAAACCCAACTGGTAACAATTTTCAGATACGTATTTAACGGCGAACCAGTAGAACGTTTTTGGAATTATACTAAGTGACATATAAATCCGAACACCCAGTTTAAATGGTTTTATTTTAATAAAAGTTGGTGAATGTATTTATCTTACTGTAAATAACAAGTGAAAAAATTTTCAGCCTTATCAGTTGGACATTCTGGTTTTTATACTGCTTTTTTTTAATTCACTAACGCTCTAAAAATGAATATTTCAGCCGCAGTAAAGAATCAACGTTGGCGCATTTTGGTTCTTGACATCCTTTACGATCGGTTACGATGCCTAGAGTACGGAGACCTGTACGATTTCGTCAACTTAGTGAGTTTGATAGGGGCCGTATAGTGGGACTTCGGGAAGCTGGACTTTCTTTTCGAGCAATTGCAGTTAGAGTGCAAAGAAGTGTAGACACTGTGGTTAGGTGTTGTCAGGCATGGCTTCGAGAAGGCCGTACGCAAAGAGCAAGGGGCACTGGACGCCGCCGTAGAACAACAGACCGTGAAGATCGCCGCCTAAGATTATTGGCCTTAAGGGACCGTTTCTCCACTACCAGGTCCATTGCAAATGAATGGTTTGCAGAACACGGAAGACCTATTAGCATGCGAAGTGTTTACCGACGAATGAGAAGTTTTGGCTTGTTTTCATACCGGCCACAGTGGGTCCTCCCTTTAACTCGAGAACACCGACGTAATCGCCTTGAGTGGTGCAGACAACGGTCACTCTGGGATCAGGAATGGAACAGTATTGTCTTTAGTGACGAGTCTCGATTTTGTTTAGGCATGCACGATGGTCGTGCGAGGGTTATAAAGCGACGTGGTGAAAGGAGGAATCCACAGTTTCTTGTTGAAAGACATGTTCATCACACTGTTATGGTTTGGGGTGCTATAGCTTATGGTTCCAGGTCACCTTTAATCTTCATCAGAGGTAACATGAACGTGCAGCGTTATATCCACGAAGTTCTAGAACCCCATCTTTTACCCTATCTTGACACCCTGGCAGATCCAAATTTCCAACAAGATAATGCCCGACCACATGTTTCAAGAGTCACAATAGACTTCTTTCAACATAATGATGTCACATTGTTACCATGGCCACCAAGATCTCCCGACTTATCCCCAATTGAGCACGTGTGGGATATGATGGGTAGGAGATTGCTCAATTTGCAACGTCCTCCTCAGACTCTAGAAGCACTTCGAGAGGAGTTGGTGGTTGCCTGGAATGAGATACCACAGGAGGACATTGACCACCTGATCAGAAGCATGCCTAGGCGCTTTGGAGAATGCGTAGCACATCAGGGTGCATCCACACATTATTAAAGGTCAAAGGGCTTTAAAGCAGTGCATTCATTTTGAAATTTTTATCATTTACTTATTATGCTTCATTAAGTACTTATACAAAATTTTATTAAAATAGAACCATTTAAACTGGGTGTTCGGATTTATATGTCACTTAGTATATACGAATTCCGAAAAGTGTGACGCGGATTCTCAAACATATTTTGAGCGTCGTAGATCCATTAATAGGAAATTTCCCTAACAAACTGATTTCACAAAGCTATGACGGAGCCGCGGTAATGAGCGGACATAATGCTGGAGTACAGGCAAAAATTAAACAAAGATATCCATTTGCTCACTATGTGCATTGCTATGCGCATCAGTTAAACCTAATTATGTCCCAAGCTGCTTCCGCAAATGCTCAAGTTCGGGTTTTCTTTGGGGAGGCGTAGAGGTACTGAACAGAATTGTGGGGAAAAATTCCACAAGGAGTAACAACTCGTTGGAATTTTAATATTCGAACAATAAATGTAGTGTTTGAGAACAGAGAATCTGTCATTGAATGCATGGAAGAAATAGAAGAAAATTTCACTAATGAAACCGTTTGCAAGGCAGCTTGCGGTATTCGCCGTATGTTAAACGATTCTGTTTTCGTGTTTTGGTTGACATTTTTTCATCTTGTCATGCCTCACGTCGACATCTTGTTCAACCAGTTACAGAAGAGAAAAACCGAGCCAGTTAAAACGGATATCGATAATTTTGAAAAATGTATTGTCGATGTGAGAAATAAAATTGATGACATAATAAATGAAGCCAAAAGTATTTGCACTGAACCCCAAGGCAACAAAAGGAGACGACGTAATAATAACAGTCACGATCACCGAGTTGCCGCATTAGAAGTATGCGACAATATAGTGAATTCTGCAAATGACAGATTTCAATTCAAAGATCATTTGGTAGCCGCATCCCTTTTTTTCCCCGAACACTTTGGACAATATTGTGGTAAGTTTCCTGATGACAAGTTGGAAACTACCTGCTTGGCTTATCCCGAATTAGAAAAAAGTCGTTTGAAGACAGAGTTGTCTGTTATTTATGCACGGAATGATTGCCGAGATTAACTGTCTCTTTTGAAATTTTTGATACAAAATAGTTAGGAGGAAACACTAAAAGAAACAAAAAAGCTATTAGAAATTATTGTTACAACTCCTATGTCAACATCAGAGGCTGAGCGAAGTTTCTCAATATTGAAAAGAATCAAGACTTTTCTTCGTAATACTATGACCCAGGATCGCCTTACAGCGTTGTCGATGCTGTCCATTGAAAAGGAATTTATTTCGACCATGGAAAATTTCAACGGGAAGGTGATCGACAAATTTGCTGCCAAGAAGGAGCGCAGGATCGAACTGACATATAAAAAATAGGTAAGTTCGGATCTGCAGAACACCTGTTTTATTTTGCCACGAGCCACGAACCGCCACTTTAGTAAAGTATAACGTAATATCTAATTTTTTAATCACCATGTATTGTACAGCTATAGAGGAAAAGACGTCCCCCTAAAAATCAAAATTGACGTATCCGAGCGTTTTTCCCAAAATATACCAGGAGAGTCACAAATGGGGGCGAGCCACCGTGTATAGTAAATTGACTCTAAGACCCAGAGCTATCAAAAACTTGCTGACATTATAAATCAAAGCAGTCAGATATATCTGCGTATAATTCTTTAATTATATCAGTCCGCACATGCAAGTGTTACGTATATTTCCATATTTGCACGCCTCTGTTCTGTTCTCTACGGGATGCAGTTTTATCTAAATAATTTCGCTTAATTAATACACGGCATATTAATGAAGGTGTTGTTACGCTACAGACTAATTAGATACTAATTTTTCAGTACCTATTCCTTCATTTTTAACGATATAATTAGTGCGCGTACTTCGACAAACTTCAGTCTCAGATTTCCGTGTTGGTCAGTAAATTAGTATTGGACTAATAGCTTGGTTGACAGGTTGACGATAGTCGCAGGCATAAATATCCCACTGAGAGCTGCAATTAGTGTTATCTGCATGACTGGTTGTCAAAAATGGCCACGCCAACACAATATAGCCAGTCTTAGGAACCCCATGTACCTAAAGAGTGAAAATCAAGTCATTGCTGTTTCTTATGAAATGAAAGAAATTGATCGAAAAACAATAATGCACTTATTTACCACCTAAGCCGCTGGATGAGGAAATATTGTAATCGCGAGGAATTTGGAAAAATGGATATTATGCTCATGCTCATTTCGGTCTGTCTGCCTGTCCTCTAATTCTAGAACTGCGTCTAACTTGGAGAGTACGACTCGGATTTGGATAGAAATTTTGACACAAGGCCAGTACCATGCCATATAGCCGGTCCAGTGGCTATATGCAGAAATATGAAAAAAAAATATATTACGGTCTAAATGCTGCTCCTCAATTCTTCCTCTGATATTTTTCTCAGACCGCCTCAGAAAGAGGTTTATGTTTTTTGCTCGTGGGTATGTATCCAAAGAATTCCATTTCGTGGGATACAGGTCAAATGGCCTGATCGATTTGGTCACTAGAGGAGTCTTCAGATTCGTTTCAGCAGAGCGAGTGACACTGGCTATACTAAAGTTTTAAAGAAACATAATAGCGGATTTCAATGAAAAAGGTCAACCTTGAAATTCTTATTCCACAGGTTACCGCTGAAATGGCTTGATGATATTTGCCATATAAAATGTTGTTGGATTCCTCTTAGTAGCACGAATGACACTCACTTATTGGAATTTTATGAAAACTGGCCATTTTTTTATAAACAAAAATTCCTATTTCACGCGTTATAGCTTGAACGGCTTGGGAAATACTGACATGTGATGGGGCAATTCAATCTGTATGCTTCTCAGTTACTGCAGTCGGGTTGCTTTTATTTTTTTGTAAATGTATTTGTTTAATTGTTTTTAGACTTAGACAGATCAAAATCTTCACGATTAGAGTCAACACATAGATGGACTGTTTGGATGTAGGAAAGTATGGAAAATACTAGTTTTAGTTTGCACCCATATAGGATGGATTCGATCCATGACATCCAGACCGAAAGCTACGCTGCTCCGGTAGTAATATATGGGGATCTGCTATTCTACGTTTACAAAACTGAACTCATTGACCCATCTGTACCCGTTCGTCACCGTATCGAATTTGCATCCAATTCTAATGAAGCATTCAAGAGATTTTAGATCATAGTGGTAAGCAGCGGGTGCTGTCTTTGGAATTCACATTCTGTTGCACCCCAAACATGAGTAAATAAATAATTAAATAAAAATCATACAACCAGGCATTGAAAATATACGCAAGTGAGCTTTGGACCATTGTCTAAAAATGTTTGCACCTCACTGGAATGATCAAAGTTTCATTTATCTACTATATTGTTGCCTACAAGTAACGTATGTCCTAAAAGCTTTGGCACAAAATATTTATCGGATGTTTTTTTAACGAAGAAATTTATTTAAACATTAACTAGTTATCATAAATTACAATTCAATACTTAACTAAACTACTATCGAATTATCTGGAGCGGTTCATTCTGCTCTACCAGACGCAGCTTTCTTAGAATATCTCTCATGAGGTGCTGAGGTGCTGATCAAAAGTTAAATCAATTTCTTTCAGTTTTTCGTAAATACGCCATCTTAACTGTTCTTCATCTTGGGGTTCCCAGCCTTCATGATGAACCTTCTTGGACAGTAGAGCCCAAAAATCCTCTATTGGGTGAGTCTGCGGCAAGTTTGGGGGATTATCGATTTTGGGAACAGAAGGCATAATATGTTGAGTTGTCGAGGCAAGCTTTGGGTATCCCTTAAGTAATAGTATGATGCTAGGTCTGGCCAAAACAAGATATGGTGGACAAACTGATGCAATTTGAAAAGGCAGTTATCAATATGTCAGGGCATTCCTTTACGTTTTCCGTACAAGATCCGTCGTTTTCCTTTATTTTAGAATTACTCAAAGTGAAATACTTTTCGACATCTAAAATAATGATTTTTCTATTTGCAAAGTGTCCCCTCCTCAGCTGATGAAGGATTTGCGCTTGAGAGTATTTAGGGCACTCAAGTCTCTTTCGATATTTAGGACCATTTCTCCTCAATTTCAACGATATGGTACCCTTAGACGATCTGTGTCGACGAACCATTCTGCCTGTTGACATTCCAACCTGATTTTTCTCTGACGTAAATGCACGTGATCTTCCACTTTTTGGTAGATTCAGACATGGTATTCCCTGCTCGCACTCCGCTATTGTTGGATAAATGGGTCTGCGTAAAATGTTTCAATTCTGGTGTATTCGACAGATTTCAGCTTTAAGTACCCATCCAACCAACTTGTAGATACTTTTTCTTATTTCTAATCTATACGACATCTTAAAACGAAAACTTCAAAATAAAGAAATGTCAACTGACAATAATACAAGTAAGCAAGGCAACTTGATATTATTTTGTGTTTGTTAAAATTGAAGCCAATGAATTTCGTGCCAGAACTTTTAGGACATTCGTTATGTCTGAGCAAAATTCATTTATAGAAACTTCAGACTCTTTTCAAGCCGTTTATCAAACCACACTGCATCGCGAAATGGACCAAAAGTCGCACAGTTGTGCTGGTTTATATATTATATTATATAGGTTATCTAGCTGCTGTATCCAGTTCAATACAGGAAGCTTGTCTATAATCTCTTAACTGGACACACAAGTATGACTATAAAAAACGTATCTTCAAGGTAACCACAGAAAAAATAGTTCTTAGATGTGATGTTTTTATGTGTTATGAAGCGACGGCTTTTAGACAGCATGAGGCAAAAATTCGTAGCAATTAATATAATTACATTTGCTTAATATCTTTGATACTAAAAGCATTTCCTGAAACGCAGCTTGCCATTCCCTCTGAAAAATAATGAAGGAATGATGCGTAATCATTGGACGGAAATAAGTCTTTTATTCGTTTTTATTTCCTCTTTGACGCTCCTTTTAATGTCACCATTATTAGCAAGAACGAAAGTCGTCAAGACCGTATTTTTTAAAAATACATCAATATAATTTAACGCTTACTTCCTTTGAAACCTGTTTCACTCAGCTAAATCACTGTTCCCACGCATGAGCCAGATAGTCTAATCATATTAGCAAATTCTCCCGAAATAACTGTAAAGTCTGGTTTTATTGGTGCAAGTTCTTCAAGGGGGTATTTAAAACCTGGACGCATAAAATGGGTAGACCAATTTTTGTGGCAAAACTTTTTATTTGACAACAAAGAATGAGAAAACGTGTTTTTGGGATTCAATCGAAAGTGTTGACAGGATCGAAAAAACTTTCTATAAAACATTCTTAGGTATTTATGAGACCTACAAAATGAGACCACACGTAAAAAGACCCGACTAATAGCTAAAATGTTATGGCCGAAAAACTAGGCAAAATGCAGGTTTTGGCACTTGTTGGTAATGCGACGATAATTTCAAGCAATTACTTCAAATTCTTTAAATCCGTAGGATTAATACTTCTGAATGACAACAACAAAATTGCTTCTGGCCATCATTACTAGTTTATTGAGCAATATACAGGGTTCGTTCAAAGAGCATTTAAAATAGCAAAGTACACGTGTTTACCTCGCCGATATGAGTCACAAGCCATTCCGAAAGACAAATGTTATTTTTATGCCAAAAACAAAAGTTACGTTTTTTTCTTCTGAACAAATTCAAACATTTCGTATTTGTGAGTAATTGAACAAATACGCTAGGATATTCGAAAAACGTACATTACTATACATATTTTAAAACAAAGCGGATGTGTCTATCATCTTCTGTTGCGAATTAATTACTCACAAAAGCGAAAAGTTGAAATTTTTTATAACAAAAAACGTAGCCCATGCTTTTTTGCATAAAAATTACATTTATCTTCCGGAATGATTTGCGATTCATATCGGCAAGGTAAACTAGTGTATTTTGCCCTTTGAACTAACCCTGTATATTGCTCAATAAGCTAGTAGTAATGGCTGGAAAACAGGTGCCTTTGGATAAACAATTATAAATTATCAAAAACTTCTTGACCAATCTACTCCAATTTTGTTGTGGTTATTTAGAAGTATGAATACTACGAATTTGAAGACTTTCAAATATCTGCGAGAAACCATCGTCGCATTACCAACAAGTGCTAAAACCTACAGTTTGCCTTCGGTTTTGCTGTTAGTCGGATTATTTTACGTGTGGTCTTATTTTGTAGGTCCCATAAATTCCTAAAAATTTTATATGAACTTAAACTTCCGATTGAATCTCAACAAACACGTTTTCTCATTCTTTGTTGTCGAATAAAACTTTTCCCGCAAAAATTGGGGTACTCATTTATGCGTTCATGTTTTGAATACCCCCTTGAACAACTTGCAGCAATTAAACCAGACTTACAATTATTTCGCAAACCAAGGGTATTTTCTCCTAATATGATTTGACTAAGGAACGTACTGTGATCGCGAATACTTTTAAATACATATCTGATAATAACTTTGCTCTTATTATAATAACGTCGACTCCACGTTCGTATCA